GCTGGGACTGACTGCAGTGCCCCCACACAATTAACTCTTCTCATTGACCCACAAATAGCCCAGCTTCAAGGACAGCACTCCCGAGCATCCCATCCAGACCAGGTGGAGCTCATTTCACAGCTGCCACAGTGCACACATGACTGGGTTAGTTATCAATTAAAAAACAGCTCCAAACAGCCTTAGCCCTTCAAAAGTTATATAACCTTCAAAAAGTTTAGTGGAGCTAATCCACAAATTTATTGTGAGGCAGCAGGAGGCACATTCAGTGGATGCAGCACATGAGAGGGCAACTGGTACAATATATTTTCCGTACAACAGTTAAAAGAAAGGATGGCAGTGCACATAATTTAACACAGGCCTTGAGCCTGGTATCAGATTAAGTACAACAAAAAATATATAGGCACACTACCTTTAGACACCAATGAAATAGTACTTGCACATATAGGAACTTAATTGAGCAGTAGGATTCATTCTGCACACCTAGTACTGAAGGATCAGCCACAACGTGATTGCTGCTTTAACAGATACCGTAGAGACAGCTCTGCAAATTTCTTGTGAGGTAGCAAGGGAAAGATTCTGCAAGTAAAATATACCTTGGGCTGGAGAAAGGCCAGGCCAACAGAATGCAACTGAATTAAGGCACATACCAGGCTAGTTGGTTTAACTGCTGCCTTACCTGACAGCATCTCTACCTCTGCTATCAAACAGGAGCAGCTGAAAATCTCTTACATGATCATATACATGTTCAAGAACTGCCCTAGAGCTGACACTGGTATGATGTCCACACAACATTTGTCAGTGATGGACTGCACAATCCTGTGCTTGCAGTTTTGGAAGCCACTCCTGAAAATACTGTTTTCTCTAACAGCTTTCAAGCTAACACGTCTAGATAACACATTAAATGCTTTATTAGCACAACCTAATCATGCATATGCATATGCCCTTTTTCTAAATCACTGAATAGCTTACAAAGGTAGAGTCAGTTAGAAAAAACATGGATTTGGTCATGGCTTTGGTAGCCACTTTGTATTAGCATCAATTATTCTGGCAACGTGACTCATACATTATCAAAATTACTTTACCACAGTAGGCAGATAAAAAGCACTACAACAATGATATGAAGGGCTTGGACTTGCCCTTGTGGAGAAGCCATAGTTCTGTTGAATAAGTTCCTCTTCCACTCACCTAGTATGGGTTGAGGCTTAAGATAAAAGGAACAAGGGGCTGGCAAGTGCAGAGACTCATCGAGACTGAAAATTCTTTCAAAAATCTTTGTTTCTTCTCCATCTTGCTCACCCAGTCCCTTGACATTCTGATAAAACGGTGCATGAATCTGTATTTCTAGTTACTCCCCCAGGGATATAAATAGCATAAATAATAGACAAGAACACTGACAGACAAATGGAATAAGATATCTAACTGATGCAATGGGACAGAAGTAACACGCAACTCATGGCAAGTCTAGGCAAAAAGAGTGAGAGTCAGGTTAGTACTGGTACATAATCCTCATGGACCACTTTTAGAGATTAAATATGCAGGCATTATCACAGTTGTATTTCTAGCAGCTAGGTGCCTGAGAGTAGAGATAGCATAGCAGCCATGCATTCATCGGTATCTGCCCAATATTCAATCATACCAACATAAATTCAGTGTTTCAAAAGTATTAACTGTTATTTTGGTATATCTTGGATAAGTATTTGTTAATTCTTATGAACATTAAGGAAGCTGAAGAGTGTATCAGAACCTGTGACTGCGATCTGATTTAAGCACTAGAAATGTAATTAAAAAATAAAAAGCAACCGTAACCAAAACCAGTAGTGTAGATTATTGGAACTCCATTAATTAAGACCAAAAGTCTGCTGATCAAAGTTTGAAGTCCATTTCAAAAGGACACTGACTTAAAGCAACTAAAATGACAAAGGGTAGACATTAAATACTTATTTTTCAATATAAACTCAAGGACAATCACAATACATACACTGAAGAAAAAAAAAAAAAAACAACTAATTTTATCAGCTATTAGTCAGCTCCTGAAAGTCAGTCTTGCAAATACAAGCAATCAGGCAAGCTTTAAGTAGTCAGCATCACAATACTCCCCTAGAAGAGGGGAAAAAATAACAGTGACTGCAGTATTTGGGTTCTAGAAGCCACTATAGAGCCTGCTGTGTCCTAGATTGACTCATTTAAAACACAAAGACCCCTAGAATATAATGGGTAGAGATATATTGATGTAGTCAATACAGATCAGTTGATTTCGGTTGGAAATTAGGAGACATTTTTTCTTAGGAAGAGCAGTCAGGCATTGGAATGGGTTGCCCAGGGAGGTGGTAGTGTCACCGTCCCTGGGGGTGTTCAAGGGAAGGTTGGACGTGGTGCTTGGGGACATGGTTTAGTGGGTGACACTGGTGGTAGGGGGATGGTTGGACCAGGTGATCTTGGAGAGCTTTTCCAACCTTAATGATTCTGTGATTCTATAATTACTGTAAAAATTATATTCTTTAGGTTATTGCATCAGCAAGGTTTTTGTAGTATTACCTCAGCCATAATAAAAACTTCAATAATAGCATTGGGCAGGACATAATTTATATTTGTGACAATATTAAAATTGTATTTTCAACTCTTTTCAGGTTTCCTTGCAGTCCAAAGGCCATCATCAATAAAGACTTTGAAAAGCGACAACGGAAGGCATGGTGACACCCACTACAGTCCCCAAGTACATCCACACTCCCATCACCAAATTGACTTGAGCTACAGAAAAAAATCTGAATGGGTTTTAAACTTGCATGTACTGCAGCAGGACAGTGATCATATAAAGGCATCACTATCAAGCCCAGAGATGGTCAAATGGACTGGAACATGCCCAGCCCTGAGCTACCAGTGGAAATAAAAAAAATCAAGTATAGCTACTGACTAGGCGAAGGACTTTTTTTTTTTACTGGAGTCCATGTCACAGTGCATCTCACTGTAACTGAGCAACAGCAACCAGCCCCACACAACTGCTCACTCACTCACACTCCAGGAAAGAATCAGACAAGCAAAAGTGAAAAGAGTTGTGGGTTGAGGTAGATAGTTAACTAAGTGAAGGGTGTGGGGTGTGTTGAAGACAGTCACACACCACTTCCCACAAGCAGACCAATGCCCCAACAGTCTCAGAGCAGCAGCCACCTCAGAAAGTCCTATGATTTACTGTTAAGCATGATGTTACATGACATGGAGCATCTAAAGTTTTTGTCAGCTGGGGCAGCAGCGCTCCCTCCCAGCCTCTTGCTTACTCCCGGCTTATTCCTGGAGCAGGTCAGTGTGAGAAACAGAGAAGGCTTTCAGACTGTGCAGGCACTCACCAGCAAAACATGAGTGTGTTATCATTACTGCTTTAGTCACAAACCCAAAACATAGCGCTCCATGGGCTGCTACAAAGCAGGTTAACTCCATCCCAGCCAGACAACAAGGACAAGGACACATGGATACAGTATCTGTTTCAGGGATTTCAGCACTGTAAAGATTTGAGAGTTTTCACGCAAAACATAAATCTGAAACAATACTGTGAAGTGTTAAGGCTAGATAAAATTGCAATGAGCATTTATTTACTGTGCAACTGTTAAGTACTAGCAGTTTTTAGGAAATTGTGATTGGTTCAGATGGCTGGCTCAAACTTCTTTCACATTCCCTCCCCACACTGTGGAAATTAAGCATTTGCAAGCTTCAATGAAATTTTAGGCTTTGAATCGACTGAGTTACTTTACATTACTGCACTTTTACATTGTACGAAGACAGTGCTGGATACGGTGTGTTAGGCTAAATGATCAAAGCCTGACAGACAAGCATCCTTCCCGCAACCCCTGCTCATCTCCTCTGACCTCAGAAATTGCCCTAGACATCAAGGGAGCTTATAGAATTTAATCGTCTCAGGCTGGGATATCAAACCTGGTCTTGGTGCCTTCTTTGTAGTGAAGAAAAAAATATCCAACCCTTCTTTTTTTCATCCCTATCAACTAACAATAGCTATTGGATTTCTCTAGTAGGAACACTTTGATGACCACCCACTGCCTTACCTGCTCCCACAAGTGGCAAATGACACATTGCATTCACAGCATGACGACTTCCTCAAAGTAGCACTACAAACTGGCATTTCCCCAGTTACACATATTAATCATCAAGACCTCCACATCAAGCCCAGCGGAAATCCACAGGATATGTTGTAGAAATACCATATGAGTAAGAACCCTCATCCTGAGCTCAAAGACATTGGTATTGACAGCCATCAGTTCAACTCCTTGCAGGACTGCAGATGGAATCACATACTTTTTCTTCCTTCCTTAAACACGGCGTTATGGACAATGCATCAGTATTTGATAGCAGGCTAAAAAAACACGCATGCATTTATGAACAGGTATTCCACCAGACTTATCAAATACTTGCCATCAACGTTATACCGGATTTTAGTCAAATCATTACTAAAGGTAAGTTTATCTTCAACAGATTGTTTCTACCTCTCCAGCAAAGATCGTAGAAAAAGTAACTCGCCAACAAAAGCAACTAACTGCTCAGAATTCAAGAGACTGGTGGTATTGAGATGATTAGATAAATCAGTTGAGGTCTCAGCCTCAAAAACAGTGGTGAAATTCACAAGATCACAAACTTGTAAAGTAATACAGATCTTTAAAAACATGATTCGCCAGGAAGAACCTCTCTTTTCCTTCCACATCTAGAAACAACTACGATATCAGCAGTGTGGTCTAGCAAAAAATACATCTTCCATGGAAACATGGATGTTCTCAGTCAGCTGGGAATCCAGCTGAGCTGCAGCACCAATATTCTTCTGAAGCACTCCAGGAAAGGGATGCGCTTTGATTCGAGGCATCAGTGTGGGGAAAACTGCATCCAAAGGGTGTAGATAAAGAGCACATACCCTGCCAAATTAACAGTGGACATCGCCGTACAAAGACTGCCACGATGAGTGGCTGAGCCTCATTATTCAAATGTATTTTTCAACAAACAGATTCTCATAGAACACGTCCATAGATTTTAATATACTGACATATAAAAACAGTAACTTCAGTTCACTGGAAACATTTTTTTTTAATTTTACCATAAAAAGGCAAAATAAACTCTTTCACTGTAATGTTATAGCTTTTAATATTCCTGAGCTGCATTTTAGAAGCAAAAGTATTCTTAAATGGATTTAACAAGAGACACTGCAGCCTTACTTTTCAACACCGCAAGTAAAAATAATTTAGCAAGAAGGCCCCTATTCCAAAAGACAATGGCTAGCTCTGCACGTACCTGAAAAAATGTGTCCAGTGGCTCTTCGCCACCTGGAGTAATTACAAAGCCAAGTATGTTGACAAAACAACAGAACAACTTTTCAACCTTTTTACCACTGCTTCTTGCCTCCTTCATCAGTGTGCCTTTCTTACACGGAAATTACTATACAAATGGCAGTACATGCCAGAATAATTTGGGCCACACAGCTTGGCACTATACAGACATATGAAGGAATCATAGCAGGTAAAAAGATATCCTGTGTATCTTTATAGTCGGCTTTAAGAACCATACGAAAGTCTTGCTATCTGGTTCAATCAGCAAAAAACTCTTTGTTAAATACAATTTCATTAAGTGCACCAGAAAGCGTTTTAAATCAAATCTGTATGTGATAGCTTTTAACATCTGGAGTTCCTACAACTGGCACCCATACACTTCTCAAACCAAATTAAGTGATGAAGAGATGAAAAACTAAATTGGCTAAAATTAAGATTTAGGAAACTGAAAATTGTGGAAACGGGTCGGCTTTTAGCACTGTAGGAACTCAAGCACATGCACAGGTGATTACAGCTACATTGTGGTAGAAACCTAGAAAGAGACAACAGAGCCCAAAAGAACTTAAAAAAAATCAGGTATCTATTTTCTTGATTTCAGGGACTATATGCAAATCAGGCATTGGTTGAAACAGAAGCACTTTCTTACAGCAGTCACACCAATGAGGTCTCGTTTACAACTTTCTGGCCCTTGTGTCCAACCACAGCCTTTCCAAACAGTCCAGGCCTCCACTACCCACTCCAAGTACTCCGTTGCTTACTCAGTGATCTCCTCCTGTATCTTCGCTTCCTGCTCAAGCTTCTGCGACTACGACTCCTCTCTCTCCTGTCTCGTTTACGTTCGCTACTGCGAATTCTTCTGTAACGTGAACGTCTGGGGCTTACGCTTCTTCGACGAGGACTGTAACTTCGTCGAGGACTGTAACTTCTGCTAGAGCGTCTGTAATACCTCCTCTCCTTCCTGCGCTTTTCATCCTGGTAACTGCTCCCATCTCTCCTGTGCCTGCTTCTCTCTCGTCTACCCTTACTGTCGTCACTGTTTACGCTGCTACACGAACGGCTCTTCCTTCTCCTTGCCTCCGTGCTACGTTTGCCCTGCTCACCATGTGAGTCCTTCCTGCAGCTACTCTGGTCGTAGCTAGAGAGGCTCTTCTGCTGCTGGTTACTGGCAGGAACACACGAGAGTACTCCTGAACTTCTTTTCTCAGAACACCTCTCTGAGTTTGTGGTATGAAGTTTCTGACTTTCTTTGACGTGAGCTCTGTCATGAATATTGCCATTCAAATACTTGCACTGACTCTCCGGGGATGCTACTTCTCTTTGAGAGCCTGACGCCAGTTTGCCTGTAGCAGCCTGTCCTGAGGTAGAAGTGATGCAGCTGGATGACACAGTGTGGGGAACACCACTAGAAGTTTTCAGCAAGTCAGACTGAGAGGGCTCCGTTTCTTCTTTGCTTTGATGAACTGCATCCATTTTCTTGCTCAGAAGATTGTTCAGTAGTTTCTCCCTCAGTTCCTTTTCTTTTCTCTGCAGACCCAGTGCTCTCTCTTTTTCTTCTTCCACTCGTTTGAGCTCAGCCTCCTGAAGCTTTCTTCTTTCCTCTAGTTGCTGAAGACGGATCTTTTCTTCATTTTGTTCTTGCTCCAAAAGTTTTACAGTCTGAAAGACAGTCACAAGGCAAGCAAGAGTAAAGAAAACATTTAGACTTGCTCATGCTTCTAAGTTGTACCATAACACAAAAGCAGCAATCTGGCACAAAAATAAGGTGTCTTACAAATAGAATGTAACCCTCCCATTTTTCTCTCTTATATAAAGCTCAGTCATTGAGGATCCTTACTACAACAAGAGTAACACACAAGCCATCAAAACATGCAATTTGTAATATTAAATTTCTCAGGGTTGATACTTGAAGGTTTCAGTCAAACCAAAAACATTGATTTCCGTAAGAGGTTTGCAACCTGCAACTCATAGATACTTTACAATGGGTCCTTAAAAAAAACAACCACTCATTATGTAGAAACTAATACGCTGTCAACCGCTTTAGAAACTCGTGATACTAAGAAGGTTCAAACTTACTATTTTTAAGTTCTGTTCAGCTTAGTGCAGTCCTCAAAATTACTGACTGAAATAAGAACTATTTTATCTATTTCAGAGCTACAAAGCTACAAACTCTGCAAGAAGTATTGCTCCTTTCTCCTAGCATATGGCTGACCACTTAGCACTGCATGAGCTCTAATTCAAAAACAATCCTGAGGTACACCGGCATCAAAGAATAAGAGTGCGCTTTGCCACAAACAGTTTTTCACTGCTGCAGAAAATACTTAACGAGCATTCCATTACACCCTAGCTAACGCTGTCCTGTTTTAGTGAAAAAAAATAGTTGCTTTAGAGAGACGGGATCTAACACTGAACTTCAACTCAGTATTTTCCTGTAGAGAAGCCTTTCTGCACGTTTTCAAACATCAAATAATGAGACATCTTTTTAAAGCTGCTGAAGGCCAGAAGGGAAAGAGTACCAAAATTCATATTAGAAATAAGGAGTCTTGCATCTTACCTTCTGTGTTTTGTTCACTTTATCATGCTTACACATTCTTTTCCTTGACTTGAGAGCAAGGCTGCCAATTAGTTTACTTGCTAAAAAAGAAATGCTATTTGGGACTTAAGGTTCAAATTCACTTTTCCATTTACTTATACGTACATATTTTACCAAGGGAGAAATACTGTTTCATTAGGCTTTTTTTAATTTTTGAAATAAGGAATAGCAACTAGAGAGATACGAAATCTGTTGTTTAATGAACAGCAATCCCCACCCCCCCCAAGTCGGTAAAAGGCTTTGTTCTGTTGGGTTCTTCATTAGCTGCTGAAATAAATATTGAAGTTACCTTTGCCCTGCTTAGCAGTTCTGCAATTAGTCTAATGGACTGAAGATTCCTCTGAGCTAGTAGGAGCTTCCTTTCTTCTAATTTTATCTTCTCTTGCAGTTTTTTCTGCTCTTCAGCTTGAAGTTTTTCAAGTTGTTTTTTGTTTCGTCGAAGTTCACGATCCTTCTGTTTCTGTTCTCTTCTGCGCAACTTTTCTTCTCTTTTTCTTTCTCTCTCATATTCTTCAAGCTCTCTCTGCTTCCTGAAAATAGATTAGTATTTTTACCTTGTCTAGAGCATGTACAATTTTAGACTCCTGACAATATTACAAAATATATTTTGTACTTTAAGTTCATTTGGGTCTTAATAACTCTTGGTGGTTACTGAAAAAGTAAAAAACAAAGTGAACTTTTTAGCCCTTACTTGTGATAGGAAAGTAAAAGCAATCCTTAGCCTGTCAATATCTAAAAACAATTAGGTATCCAAACATAAAATACGGCAACAGATATTTTTTTTTTTTAATCACAATGAGAAGAAAATTACCAATTCAATTGACATGTGCATGGTTGATGGATCTTATGTCAGTCATTAAGAAAAAATGGCAGCTTATGCAAAAGAATGTGGGCTTCTGAGATCACATACCTGATGTCATGACTATTAAGAAATTGAGTAATTTGCAGTTTTAGTATTTTGAACTGAATGTAAGTATTAGTGATAATCTAAATAACCTTCCTGAGTATATTAACAGTATTGCTTCAGTAAGATGTTTCACCTCACACTTAAAAACCTAAAAATTAAGCAGTAACAAGTTATGCCCGACAAGGCAAATGTATACCATACAACCTGGAAAAAAAAAAAACCTGCTGCATTAACATTTATAATATTCTGAATAGCTGTTGTATGATACTTGCACCTACATTTTCTTAAAATAACACTAAAACGTGCTTGTATCCCATTCCTTTACTGCGAAAACACCTTGTTAAAAGCAAGTGATCTCTGTTCTATCAGTTACTTGCTACTAGAACAAGTGCATGTATTTCAAGACATATTTACCGAAAAAAAATTAAACTACTCTTCTTCACATCCAGATCTCAATCCCTGAACCCTACTTCAATAAAAGGGCTGCAATATTCTCACTCAGTTTTAAGTGCTTCACTTCAACTACACGATCAGAACTTTGAAAGCAAAGCTTTTTGTTTGTTTGTTTTGTTTTTTAATCTGCTGATGCAAATAGGAAGGAGTTTTTGCATGCTGTACTGGTAAAAACATAAAGCAGCGCCATAAACAGGAAGTACCTTTCTTCCTCTTTTTGTTTTTCTTCAGCTTCTTTCTCTTTGCGTTTTTGTTCTTCTCTCTGCTTTTCAAGCTCTTGAAGTTTTTGCCTTTCAAGCTGACGCTTCTTAATTGATGCATCACTGAGGTGTTTTGTTGAGTCAAAAGAAACCTTTACAGAACACAATTGAAAACAGTTTTAAGTAAACAAAGAAAAATCCCCAGCAACCAAGTTCTGACCTAGCACAAAGGTATTCAAAACGTAAGTACAAGCATAAACATAAAACCTTTTTCAAAACAGAGGGACCTTCTCTTCTACATGTTTCCAGAGCAAGCACCAGAGTACTATAAACATATTACTAGGAATTGTCCCTTAACTTCACTGCCTACCTGTTAGCACAACTGCGCACCAGTTTACACTTCTGTATGTTTCTGGCATCCAAATGTAAACCCAATGTGATTTAGGCCCTGGCTGTCCAATGTTTTACACCAGTACCAGAATAGGAAAGTGAAGAACTCTTTCATCATCTTTCATGGATACCTCTGGGGAAGGTAGAAGTAAGCCTTTATCAGGTCTCCCTTTCTGTGCAAGGCTATGATCTGTAAATTCACTAGGAGAAAAGCACCAATTCAGAAACATTTAGCACCTGGCTTAAACTAATGCCTCCTCACCAATTCCAACACAAAGATTCCCAAATTCAATTATGTACACCTTGGTTTGTTCCACTAGCAGGCTAAAAGGCCTAGAGAAGCAGAGCTGGACAGTGCCGTGACCTCATGTGAAAGAGATCCGTTTTGACAGCACAGTTGTGAGCACAGCCCTCCCTCTTTCCTATCAGCCCCCGGGCAGCTGCCAGGAAGGAATGCACAGGGGACCTAAATTTGGGAGCCCTGATCTAGAGCATGTAAGTGACAGTTTGAACTTCATATCCCCTTGAAAACAGAAGGGTTGAGGTACAACTATTTCTGTGCTTCTGCTGACCTTCTTTGAAGAGATTACAGTATTTTACAAGACTAAACCAAAATTAATTTAATCTTTGCATGCTCCCAAACTACCTGAGTACTTAAGCTTTTTCCTGAAATACACTTTCTGATTTGAAAAATGGAAATCAGACATACTGAAATAAACAAGCAAATATATCACTCAATCGTTATGTAAATACATGGACAGTCCCCAAAGTTATCACAACACTTTTTCTTCAGGCTGTACTTTCACAGATAAAACATCTGAAGAGACTGCCTGGGCCACGATCATCTCCTGTCAATAGTTTCAACTTCCTAGGACAAAAGGGTTATGGAGAAAAAGATTTGGAAAACTCTGTGAATTAAACACACTGGATTCACAGGGAACTAGAACACAGGTTAGTATGTTGTTTCAATTTTTGGGTGGCCTTTCTGTACATGTAGTATGCTGAGCACGATGACCTCTGTATTCCACAGGCCACACAGACCACATGGTATTTACTTCACAGTCCTGACACCCAATGGGTAAACCTCATTATCAACGTGGGGATCAAAAATGAAGGCTGTCCCTCTGCCCCAAATTTCTGTCAGCTTGTACAAAAGAGAACATTGCACTGTAAAGGTAGCCCTCCCGTCACAGTGACGTATATCTGAACTTACTAAGAATTAGATATTTTATGTGAAATGACAAGATTTGCACATACATGTTCCTTTATAAAAAAACACTTAACAGGTAATGTTCATATACTTGGCCATTCTTTAACTGTTCTCATTTCAAGAGCTGTCTTATTAAAAAAAAAAAAGAGCAAAACCTCACATTCAGAGTCCAACAGGACATGTTTACTCTTTCCATCACTCTCCTTTTAAAGTTGTAATTGCTGGTCCCCAGAAACACATCAACATCAGCTGCTGCCACCACTACAACCACCTGAAGGTTTTAAGTGCTTCAGAACTAACATTTATCTGTTTGCATTTTCACAAGGCTTCCAATGAAAAAATTCCCCCGCTTCTCACCTTTATATTGCAAGCCACAGCTTTGCCATCGTCGCCTTTGAACATCAGCTTCATCCCTCGCAGAGCGTTCATGGCCATAATGAAACCCGCATACTCCTGATATTGCACGTAGGCTTCAAAATTTAAATGGCCTCCAAAACTGAAGGTGTGGAAGTTTCTGCCCGTCATTTCTTCTCTGTAAGGGTCCAGCATGGGTATGTCCACGTTACGTATTTCTCCGAATTTCCTGAAAACCTTTATAAGGACTTCTTCGCTTGGTTTTTCTGAGCCCGAGTCCTTTGCTGCAAACCACTTACAGGGCAAGCCTTCCAGATGGATGGTATCTGGCCTTTCGCCTGGCAGAGTTTCATTCATATCTTTTGCATCACGGAAAAACGAATCCCAGTCATGCCTGGTGGGAAAGTCAATCTTGTATTCTGCAGCGCGGACTTTCAGGATGTCCGAGAAGCCACTCAGCTTTATTGTTTTGCCATCGAGGCACGCCAGAAAAGACTTGACTAAACTTTTGTTTTCGACCTCTCCTTCAAACCGGATGAAATCCATCGTGCTTTTAGATATCCGCAGAGTGGAAAACTGATGGGTTTGCACCATGCCTTTCAGTCTTTCCATCACTTCCCAGTTCGAAATAGATTTTCCCGGTTGTTTCAGCTGAGGAAGTGCCACGCTGATGGTCATTTTTGTAATGGGCTTAAGGTACAACCCACAGGGAGCACAGAGCTCTACAGCTTCTGATGTATCATGAACTATTGTTGCAGCAGCCATAACACAGAAAAAGCATAAAGGATAAAAAAAAAAAATAAAGATGCAAGTTTAAGTTGTAGGCCAACAGTAGTCAAACAAAACAGCCCTTATCCGTAAACAATCGAACTCTTTGCACATTTAACCAATCCCACGTAAAACCATGGTCTCTTTACACAGCAGCCAACTAGAGAGTTAAAACCGAGCGGCACAAACATCTTAAACTACTTTATAACCACCAGAACCTACAGATAATCACACCTCGGTAAGGCCTCAGAGGTAAAAAAAAATAAAATAAAATACGAGAGGAGCTGATGGCAATCTGAGGGGTAAATGAGGTTGGCAGTGATGGCTCACAGAGCAGCTACCCTTGTGTCTCGGCAGGGAGGGGAGGCAGAGGCTGACGCCACACGGCTCCGAGGACCACTTAGCAACAAGCAGAGCCCAGCGGGGCCGCAGAGGGGCCGCGGCTCTCCACCAGCAGCGCTCGGGTGCCGGACACCTGCAACGACACAAGCGCGGGGCCTTCAGGCAGGGCCCGGGGCCCGCAGGAGGACCCCTCCGGCTCCGCCGCCGCCGTGCCCGGGGCCCGCCCGCCCGGCCGCGACCCACCGCAAACGGCCGCCGGCCCCGCGCGCAGCCGCCACCGCTTCCGCTTCCGGCCCGGCCGCCTCCCGGAGCTGCCTCCCGAGGGCTTCTCTAGCTGCCGGCGGACTTGCGTCTCTATGGCACCGACGGGAAGGGGCGGCGGGGAGGGGGAGGGCTGGAGGCGGGGGCGGCGCATGCGCAGTTGCCCGCGGCCGGTGGCTGTTGGGCTGAGGCTCCAAAGTTTTAGTTTTATTTTTATTATTTTTATTTTTATTTTTTATTTGTTGTTGTTGTTAAAAAGTAGTCAGCATCACAGAATCATCACAGAATTTCTAGGTTGGAAGTGACCTCAAGATCATCGAGTCCAACCTCTGACCTAACGCTAACAGTCCCCACTAAACCATATCCCTAAGCTCTACATCTAAACGTCTTTTGAAGACCTCCAGGGATGGTGACTCCACCACCTCCCTGGGCAGCCCATTCCGGTGTCTAACAACCCTCTCAGTAAAGAAGTTCTTCCTAATACCCAACCTAAACCTCCCCTGGTGCAACTTTAGCCCATTCCCCCTCGTCCTGTCACCTTCTTGCACCCGCTCCAGTATTTCAAAATACCGGATCCCACCTCAGCTAAACTCCCACCTGCTGAGAAACCGAGAGTGCAGTCACCTTCAGCATCAGACTGGTGTTAACCACTGTGTGGAAATAATGACTTCTAAGCATAGATGAAAACACTCAACACAGGAGGTTGCTGTCAGTCCAGCGGTCACAGCAAGACTGCAGCTGTTTTGCAGATGTCATGGATGCTGATAACTTCTGGTCCTGTTCTGTATCTTGCATGGAGGTGTTCAATCCATGGTTCAGTGAGGTACCAGTGCAAAGGCAGAATCAGGAACTGCTGCTACTATCCAGTGCTTTGAAATAGTTCATGTATTATAGCTTGAGATCGCTGGCATGGGCCATCACATCTTCTCCCACAGACTTTGACGTGGGCACGCACAAAGCAGATCCAGTTACACTCCAGGGAGTTTCAATAGCAGCACAGTCAGACACTGAACATGGCAAAGGTTTTTAATCCTGTGCATAACCACAGCCCTACCTCCTGTGACTATGCCAGAAATAAATATTGTGTGTTTTTAAAGTGAGAGAGTAAATCAATACCAGAACTGAGGTTACCCATGCTGTGACATCAACTATAACTATAACAGCTCAAAGCTGAAAGAGATGATACAAACATCATGTTTAAAGATACTAAAAAACATGAGCAAGAAGTAGCCATAATGCAGGTGACTTTCAAAAGCTGTAATCCACGCACCAATACCGTAGCCCAGGGAGGGTGAACAGTGTGTCTGCTAAACTGCAGTTGCCCATGTTGCGCAGGGCAGATGGGTAATTTCTATTTTTATTGTTCATTCCATTAAGATGCCTAAATGAGTAAATGAAATGACTCCCTTTGGGTTTCAGAGTCTGAAGTGAAGGTCAGGAAAAGAAGTTGTGACACATGCCAGGAAGAGGAAGGATGACAGGCAAAGTAAACATCAGTAAGGGACAATATCCAAGTGCCACAGTGTCTGCAGATCTGTTTGTTGCTGTAACCCATTGCCTCTCCCCAGCTCTGACATTGCTTTTGGTTCACCTGGCAAGGCTTTGGTAGTGGAAGGGTGTGAGGGTGGCAGAGGGTGGATGGGGGGAAGGTGTTTTCAGTCTGCTTTAGATCTCACTGCTCTCGTCTGTTAGCAGTAGGCAATAAATTACATTACTCTCCCTGTGTAGTCTGTTCTACCCATGATGGTAATTGTTGAGTGATCTCCCTGTCCTTATCTCAACCCAAGTTTTTTTCATCATATTTTCTCCCCCTCTTCTCTTGAGGAGAGTTGAGAGAGTGGCGTTTTGGAGATGAGCTCCTACTGGTGTAACACTGCCACAGACAGACATCATGACACAGATGTTAAAAAATATCTAGTGTGCCTAAAAGCTTTTTTTTTTTTTGTTTTGTTTTTCCTTTGTTTGTTTGTTTTTATGACTTGAAGGTATGGTCTCACAGAATATATCCCTTCTGCCTATAAACTTTTTCTCATTTGCATCTTTAGTAGTTACACTTTGAATTCCACAAAAGTTCACCAGAGGGAGCCCTTGTTATTTACATACCTGTAATAGATCTATATACTCATAAACACAATTAAAATAGGTTATAAACAGCAGATACTAGGTTTTGTATTCTATGCATGCCTTAATATAGACCATTCTTCCTTTCTTGAAAGAGGGTATAATTCTCCTAGATATACATGGTCTTATCTGTGTGCTTCTGCGCTTCCTGAAATGCACCATTTTCTTGACCTTAATGGTCACCTATGGTAATGCATGCAATATGTTATATGGATGTTTATATAAAAGAAACATCAACAAAGTATAATTCCATTTCCTTTCCATCTTCCTTCCTCTCAAAAAAACAAAACAAAACAACAACAACAACAACAAAAAAAAACCACTCTTTTTAGTTCAAAATTTAGCAGTATCTGTTGGGGAATGATTTATCTCCTGTGCTCATATATTCCTATTTTTAAGTGTCCAGAAATATTCCTAGCATGTATCTTTTTAAAATCAGAGAGAACACATTGCACCCCTTGATTGTTTTCAATGTGATTTCTGATTTCTGTTGTCACTGAACAGACAACATCTTTCTGCTCTCTCTCACACTGAAGGGAAAGCAGAAGGATTCACGGTACAATAAAGCAGTTTATGAGTGCATTTGAAGATAAAGGCAGCAGCACAGAAGACTTGGATTAAGAGATCAGATAACTGCTGAAGAGCCATTGCAATGTTTTCAGGCTCTAAATAGCCTCTACCCACAAAGCAAAACTAAGCCCTGAAGTGGGTGGGAACAGAGGAAAGCACATATAATATATTGTTTTATTTCCTACAATGAGAAAGTGTTCCAGAAATAGTTTCATCTCCTTTAATTAACTCTTCCCTTCCCTTCCCTTCCCTTCCCTTCCCTTCCCTTCCCTTCCCTTCCCTTCCCTTCCCTTCCCTTCCCTTCCCTTCCCTTCCCTTCCCTTCCCTTCCCTTCCCTTCCCTTCTATTTGATTGCTTTGTGTCAGTGCAAGGTGTGAGTATGATGGATTATCTGCTTTGGAAAGAACATGTATCATTAGAAGTAATACATGTGCTGATGCAGGGCAATTTCAGTTAAGTGGAATTGATCATTACTTCCTGTGGCTGTTTCCCCACAGGCCTAATTGGTTTATTTTGTTTATATCAGTAGAATACAACAATAGGCAGAGACAGTTTTAGTGTCTCTAACTCATCTTTACAGCAGAGGATTGCCCTTGTTAGCACAGATTAGGAGTTTGTGATACAGAGCAGGCCAGTTCTACTAATGTATCTCAGTGCACTGTGTCTACTGCCATCTATGTTACACTAAATATCAGTGACAAAAATATCTGCTTTTTGCTTTTGCTGATGAGGAATTTACATCTGTAGTGGTAGTGATTCATGGTCTGGTTGAGCCAGTAGTGCACTGTAGCCTAATCAGCTACTTAAAAAACAGATTCAAGGCACAAAGATATTCTTTTACACTCATTATCAGATCTCTGTGTTAAATAGTTGTGGCACTATGATGTCAGATGCATTACTGATTATTTCAGTTTTTATCAAGTTGCTCATGCGATATAGTTTCGAATGATCTCATTCTTCAATAGCTATCACCTAAAACAAGTCTAAAAGATCAGGAGTTTTTTCTATGTTTTTCCATTCCCTGTTTAAGGGAAAATACGTGAATGTGATTCAAATTAACATTTGCAAATTAGGTATTTCCTCTGCAGTAATGTTACATATTGATGTCACTAAGAAAATAATCTGATCCTTTACGCACCCTTTTAAATACAAAATATTTCTTAGTAATTTTTGAAGTAAAATGCGTGAGCTGTTGGCCTATCTCTCCATCTATTTCTGAAGCAGAGAATGGCAATGAGTTAATACTGGTAGTCTTCCTTAGCAGTACATTTGCATTTGACAAAGGGAAGAATGCCATAGGATTCGGTACCAATGCATCACAGAATTTATTTATTTATTTATTTAGATGAAACTAAGTTAGCACAACTGTAGAACTGTGAATTTCTGAAGAGTTTTTAAGCAGACTAGATTCCCTCTGTATGTTCGGCCTGCCCTCCACCGCTGTGTTTCACCTAGTCCAGACAGGCCAGAATCATTTTGATTGCTCTGGCATAAGTCTGTCTTACCTATCTGGAGACTATCACTTTTGTGTTTCAGCAGCAATGCCCATATGCCAGCCTTGCTTCCCAACACACACATCGAGGGAAGTCAGATGAATAGCTGGCAGAAGGCTGGGCTGAGTTTTTGTCATCATTGCTTTTTGCTCCTGGCAATCCTTCTTCCTCATTTTCCAGGGACTGTGAAATCTGAAAAAATAAACAAAGGGAGGATGACTGAGCCATATCACATTTGATTTGCTCATTACACTACTCTTTCCTTACTGCCAGATACTATCAGTATATCTCAGAATGAGCTTCCAGGGCTTGATACCTCTTTAAAAGTACCTTATAGTCATTTCTGTTGACCACATACCCAGTTTATATGAAGATCCACTTTAAGACAGCTTCATAAAATGAGTAATCATCAGGCAGCCCAGACCACTGACCAAGTCTTATCAGAGGCTGTTTCTGGCCCATAATATGTGTAAACTTTATCTATGTATATCTATCCATATATATATCTATCTACAGGTATATATATATATATATATATATATGCTTGTATAGAAACAAGCATACATGTTGACACTATACATACCAGTTGCCCCAAGTTCCATCCACAGCCAGCAGAGACACACAGATTTATGTAGGAAAAGTCCACAGTGGCTAGATCACCCTCAGGTCTTCTCGTGATTCTGTGCTAGGGCATGGTGAGCCACCCTAGGATGAATTGGTACATACTCTCTTCCCTTCTCTCCCCTGATGTATCTGTAGATAGACAATTCTGAAGTGTTAATATATGAAAAAAGCCCTGCTAGTCAGAAACAAACTATGAGGTTATGTAGGCTGATATTGAGAGCAGCCAACTGAAGTTTCAAGGCTGAAAGCTCCCCAAAAGATTAGATTGTTGAACTTAGTGCAGATTATCAGATATTCAGAATTCAGATGTTCTAACA